TGTCCTGGTTACGAAAAACTTTATATATATTTTTATAGACGGCATCTTTTTCTATATAGTTTAATAAATGTTATATACGTTAGTTTTTTCATTCGAATCTATTATTTAAGTAAGTAAAATTAAGAAAAAGAACACTATTCCTTTACTAAAATATCATAAAAGCTACGACGCGAGCTTCACTTGTTACGGCTGGTGGTTCTTTTTATAGGTGCCATTACGCGAAAATCACGTTATTTATGACTCAAGGAAAGTCTAATGCATTTATTCGCTTAATAAAAATTCCAAAATTGAGTAATGAAATAAATCAATCGAAACAGTTTAGGTTGTGGGTCAAAATCAAAGTATACCGGTACATGATTGGCACTTGGCATGTAGAGTGCGGAAAGTGCGAGCGTAGTTTTCGTGAAGATGGCGCTGGCGTCGAGTGGAGGCGGAGCTCCCCACGCCACTCCCGCAGCCCCGCAGTGCCGCCCCGCAACGCAACGCCACGTAACAGCAACAACTAAACAAACGGCTTGGTAAGCGATTAACACATCAGCTAAATAAATTTTTGACGAAAGCTGAGCGAGATATAAAACATCTGACAAAAACCCTTTGGTTCCCGTCCAGTATGTTATCAGAATCAGTTTTTAAACTTATGTATAGAAATAAATTTACTTCAGAAAACTCGACCATAAAAAATCAATTATAATTTTATTTGTAAATTGTATGTGGTTTTATTGGCTTGGGAGTAAGAGTGTTGTCAAAGACCTCACTTTAAAGATGCGTGTGTCAGTTAGAGGTAATAAAACCACATACAATTTGCAAAAAAGAATATATTTAAATATTAATTTGCAGTGTCACTTCAGTTTTATATAAAAATTAAAAAAAAAAACGGCTTTATATTATAGAAAGAAAATAATTAATATTTGCACTGCGCAAAGCTTAAAAATTAGAATTTCTTACATCAGATTCGCGTTTCCTTACCAGCTGTGTTATACACAGTAGGCACTTTGAGCTGGTAAGTAGCCAGTTTAATTTCACCGATAGCTGTATGAATAATGCTAACAGACTATGACTATGCTCTACGCGGTAGAGCCATGCTGTAGCTATATTAGTAGTATAGTTGTAGCACGGATGGGTCGCCTCGACCGGGGAAGGACCACCCTCTCACAGAATACCAGCGTAAAATAGCAGCTTAACGCTGCTGTTTCGTGTGGTACTTTTTACTGGAAACGAGGCATTTCATCTTAGTCCTCACGGGTGACGACGCATCTGCATTTTGATTTGTAATCAAGGATAGATGTAGATGTCTATGAGCCACAGCAACCACTTACCATGAGGTGGACTGTGTGCTCGTTTGTCAACTCTTATCTTATAAAAAAAATCGGTTGTCTGTAAAGTCGGTTTACTGACGATAGTTGAACGTGACAACGCCGATTGTGCCTCTTTGTCGCTCGTTCCGCGCTCTCGCTTGCACTTCAAGCCTTAAATGGAACGCCTCGGAGCGAGGTAACGCCGCATGAGTCATGTTTTTTCGTGCGTGCAGCCAGCTTCATCGAATTATAAGACGTTGTCACGTCAAAAAAAAACATTTGCTTCGTCCCCATAACACGAGGCGTTTCATCTTAGTCCTCACAGGTGGCTATGAATCTGTAACTTTTTATGGTAGGTGATAATGCATACATAACTCATTGTTTGAAATAGCTTAACGTAATAATGAGTTACAATAGCCACTTGCCATCAAGTGGACTGCAAGTTCGTCTGACACTTCAATTGTATTTAAAAAAAAAATGTATTTTGAAATCCAATTTAACTAAAAATTGAAAATCAATCAGACACTGTAAAAGGAACAATTTCAAATTATATAATGTAGTAATTTATATATAGTGGTGTCAACTTACTACTCAATTGTTTAAAAATCAAAATATACAATAACTGCGTTGTACTCGTATGAGTCATCAATTTGAAGCGATTGTAAAGAATAATTCAGCGGGCTTCCCTCTCTCCCTGAATCTCACAATTCGTAGAAGCGAGATCTGTGCAGGACCTTGTCTCGGTCGGCGTGACGTCAAACAATGCATCCATGTGCCATATCACCAGTGTAGTCATTCGATAGTTTCAGTTACTTCGCAGAATCTTTGATGACGAGAACATTGATTGTATTACTGAATAATTTGTGTTTAACCTGTTTGTCTGGTGATCGTTATTGGATATTTCTGTCTGGAAATTCAGCAGCCCGGGGTCAGGAAGTTGGCGGTGTTTCACCCCATGCCTCGGAAAGCATGTAAAGCCGATGGTCCTGCGCCTGACTTCTCGCCGATCGTGTCGGATTACAGTTCCATCGGACTATGAGAGTGCGATAAAAGAGAGTGCGTCTGTGCTTGTGCATATACTCGGGAAGGTACTATGATCCTGTTCTGCACAGAGGCTAGTCTAAGTTGAGACTGGCCGCCACGCCGTGACCGAAATACAAATGGAATTTGTGTTTTGAAGTCTAATTACAATTTTAGAAATAATCATTTAATTTTTATAAAACTTGGCTCTACCACATAATCTAATAGGTATAGTGGTAATGGCAGCGTAATGTTACACTGTTAACGTCGGGAATATAAACTAAGTTAATATAACAGATACAATCCGTAAAAAAAAAACTAGTTTCATTTAAATGTGTTTTAGGTGGTAGAGCCACGCTACAGCTACAGAATACTAGCGTAAAATTGCTATTTTTTGCTTAATGTAAATGTCGACCGCACCCATGAACAACAGCTTCACTAGGGGAATAGCAGGCGCGTTATCGGTTTTTTAAAAAGGAGTAAGCTCGTTTCTTGTAGGTCCCGAAGTCGTATCCGTCCGGAAAAATCGCCTGCAATAAAAAAAAGTTACGTTGAGGTGAGTAAAAAATCCTTTACATTACGTTTTAATAAATAATCATGTGCTCAATAAGATGGAGTGACAATGCATCTTTTATTTATTTATATATAAACGTTACCTCAAGACTAGGGTTTTCTCCTGTATCGTGGGTGTATAGTTTACGTACATAAATTTCACAAGCACAAACATGCATCCCCGGAACAAATATTTGTAGGCAATACAAATACTTGTTGAATGCCTCATTTCCTGTAATAAGAGTCTCCGGTTCTCTCTCTCACCATACGAAACCGAGCAGCATTAAGCTGCTATTTTACGCTGGTATTTAGTCAGAGTGTGGTCCTTCCCCGATCGAGCCGACCTATTCGTGCTACTACGATAATATAGCTGCAGGGTGGCTCTATCACGCTCTACCACGTAGAAAAATACAATATATTTTGAAATAGTGCTTAATGTTATGTCGAATATGTTTCTAAATTAAATTGTATACGACGTTGGATTATTATGTTCTCTTTTTAAAACTGAAATATTTTCATTTATTATTTTACTTTATAGATGTATGCACTAATGGAGTTAGCAGTTGTAGAGTATGTCTTTAGCTTTCAACAAGATTTTTGAAACCTCTTCAAAAATAACGTGCGCTGGCTGCATGCGATTAATTATTATAAATACTACCAGTATTTATAATGGATGAATAATTTTATTTAAAAGGAAACATTACACACATAATGGTAGCTTTATATACTTTAAATTGAATATAGATAGAGACGCATGGTTGTACTTTTTATTGACTCGGTATACAAGCGCTGCTTATTGATGAATCTCGTCAGCATAGGTCTGCGTTACCGTTCAGCGAACTTTTATAGTTTTTTACTGGTCATTGGACCTATGACTAATAGGGTGAGTTTGACTCACGCAGGCTCTACAATCTCTACAAATATCTCGTTATAATCATGTTCACGCATCCAACATTTCGACCTTATTTATCTCCAATATATTATATAAAACTAGCGATCCGCCCCGGCTTCGCACGGGTGATTTCTGGATCTCGACAACAGCGCCATCTAGCGGGTTCAATTGTGAATCTAAACCATTCATGGATCAACTTAATCACACACAAAATTTCATCAAAATCGGTCCAGCCGTTTGGGAGGAGTTCAGTCACATACACGCGGACAGAGGAATTATAAATGTAAAGATAAAGCAAAGTTACAGCGTATATACGTCCCATTCCTGGACACAGGCCTCGTATCACTACTAGCTCTTAGGGCAAGGTTTTTAGGGCAAGTGTCAACCGCACTGCATTTATAACTGTTTTTCAATTTCTTATACATACGTTTTTTCACGATATTTTCCTTCATCGCCGAGCACGTGGTAAATGTTTTCTTTTATTAAATGAAAATAATACCTATTCTATCAACATTACTAATATTCGCTTTAACCACTCCGGTTAAGTTTAACATGTATGTGGTTTTTTTTAAATGTTTTGCGCCGGAAATGCTAGTGTTAGGAGTGGTCGAATGGCGGATTTGCACCCACGACCTTTGAGTTCGCTGTCCGTACCCTGCCATTAGGCTACTGTCGAAAATAACAACTAAATTTCAATCAACACTTAAATTGCATATAACAATTTCGAAATTTGGAATCGAACCTGGTTTGCTCGCTTACTGTGAAATTTATATCGAGCGCTTAACCTCTGACATACCACGGCTATAAGAAATTTTGTACCTAAGAAATATAGTAATTGCCAATTTGAGAGTAGCAAGTTGATTTTAGTTACAATATGATTTTTAATAAAGAAAGCTTTCAAAAATTGCCAGAATAAAATAAAAGAATCATTATTTTGTCTTGTTTTATTGTCAAATAATAAAAAGGTAACTTAAGCTAACCGATGCCTGAATACAAGCTGTCGGAGGAGTCATGATTACAAGGAATAGCTTCTGCTGGCAGCGAACCCGGGCCTTTTTACTTTGAGGAGGTGTCCTCACCGGACCGCAACTCAGCTCACAACCGTACAAAACTATATCTAGTTTAATAAATAAATAAATTACGTTCACACACACCACTCGGTTTCACTTACACGGCAATAAATTAGGTGGCGATCTCACTGAGAGCAATAGGAACTGTGCTGGGTTTACAACGACGGAAGATCACGTAGGTCCTGAGGGCACCGTGGTGGCGCGCGAGCTCTGCCCCACCATACACGAGCAGCCCACCGCCACGTCGAAGGTCCGCGTGCTCCCTGCAGCCGGGTACTGCACCAGCACCGTGTCGTGCATCTCCACGCACTCCATCTGGTGGTTGTTGTGATTGTGCTCGCAACACTCGTGCTGCGGTATCTTCTGCTGCATGCACCATTTATTGGGGTCGGGGGCGCACTTCATCATCTTTATCCGACGCGGTACACGGGCCGGGTCGTCGTCCACTTCCACGACTATGGGGCACACGGTGCGGTTCAGCGCGTCCGCCAGGTCTACGGTGCGGGGGTGGTGGTGGTGGAGGTGTGACGGCATGGCGGTGACGAGTGTGATGATCGCGAGTGCCGCGGTGAACAGGAGGATCTGGTGGCTCATGTTGTTGGGCACGTGCGTCCGCGATAAGACTCGCTTGCGAATAGTACGGAGCAGGCACGCGCGGCTTATTTAAGCTTTTGGTCGACAGTAAGGCGCGCCGCCACTCGCCACTTGCCGGTCGGCCTCTAGTCGGCCGCAGAGTGCTCCAGTCTCGCGTCGGAGCCTTACGTGTCACACTTACGCGCATACCGCTCGCTCCGAACTTTCATTTATTGCAATGAAAACTTATTTAGAATCGTTGTGATTTGAAACGAAAGAGACGAACATAAATATATAGCTGCGAGATAATGAGATAGAATACAGTAGTATACGGTGTTTTTCTGAAGGTTTCGCTTCTACCGCGTGTGAACTGCACATGTTTATTTATATATTAAAACTTATAAATATCATAACACGAATTACCTAATGCGACAGTGTAGTTAGTTGCTTTACAAAAATGTGTCATTTAACTATAACATTGTAAACAATCGTAACCTAGTGATTCAAGGTGCAACAGAACAGGTCACAATATCTTCGACCATTCTATTAAGAGTGCGTTAAAGGCGCCTTGTCCAGTAAATTGGTACAGGCCGTCGCCGTTTCCATACGTACGTACGTACGTACCTGATTGCCCGATAACGAACGTGTGTTTGTTTTTGGAAGACCTCTCGGCTATCGGCCGCTTATAATTTGATTTGTCGGCGTCTTCGAAACGGTGCGGCCAATAGTCGCGTCAATCATTATCACCGTGCGTCGATTGGCCGGCTCTGAAGTGGCGCCAGTTAAACAGCTGATCGACGAAGCTTAGCTGCGGAAGTGTTTGTAAACTCCGTAACGTTTGATAGTGTTGCCTGAAAACAAATTATGTGAAATGTTTGTGTGTTGTCTATGCGATGGTGTATAAGGTCAAAATTTTAATTTATTATATTAATAGGTAATCTATCCGCCCGGTAGGATATTTTAATGTGGCCTTGTTTAGATTTAATATAATTAAAGACCAATAATTATTTAATCAATATTTCGTTTTCCAAAAAAATATACTTTAAATTTTTGTTATAAATATAGCCTACATCCTTTCAGGCACCTGTTCGTAAAGTTTCATCACAATTGGTTCAGTCATTCCGAACATTAGCCTGGAAATGCAAATAACCCCCTGTGCTAAATAAAAGCCAGTTATTTCAATATTGTAAACAAATACTTCAATTTTATTTATATGTATATATATTACGAATAAATAGAAACTAAGTTTTCTAAGCTCATAGCATAACCAGTAGATACAATGGAATATATATAAAATAATTTGTATCTAAAAATTATTATAAAGTAACACAAAATAGTAGAGTTCGACACACACGGAAGCTTTGGACGTGATTTGTTGTACGTACTTCGGAAGTAGTTGCGGCGATTCTGAGGTAATCCAAGGCCGGGGTTGTTGATAATCCACGGAGTCAACAGACTTTGATAAGTGCCCTTATGTCAGACGTGGACGCTGACCCGTCCTCTGCTATTGACACATTTGACGATATCTTGCAAAAACAGGTTATTGAAATTTCAAATGCTTTCTGGTGATACTTAAATAAATTTAATTAATACCGTTTACCGGTTAACGGTTTTTAAAAGTGACGTTTTACAATGAATATTTACCTAATTTATTCGGAGTGAAGATCTGTCTTCACTCCGAATAAATTAGGTTTTATTAATAGTTTGATTAGAAATTAATACACCACTGAATAAACATTTATGATTTTTTATGTTCAATGCCAAAGTTATTTTAGTGTGTAGTCTTATTTATTTTATATTATTATTACATTTTACTTAATAATATTATGATTACGTATTATTTTGTAGCGTGGTAGAGCCATCCTGCAGCTATATTGTGGTATAGTTGTAGCACGAATGGGTCGACTCGAACGGGGATGGACTACGCTCTCACAGAATACAAGTGTCAAATAGCAGCTTAACGCTGCTGTGTTTCTCGTGGTGAATGTAGAGAACCAGAGACTTTTTGAAAACTGGAAACGAGACATTCCAGCTTAGTCCTCAGGGATGACAACGCATTTGCATTTTGATTCTAAACTGAGGCTAGATGGCCCATAGATGTGTCTATGGGCCACAGATTCAACGACTACACAGTTCATTTATCACACTTATTCTATAAAAAATCATAAAAGTAACAGACATTTAGACATTTTTACATACAAATATAAACTTTTTTATTCAATACAGTTTAAAAATTATATTTAGAGGCACCTAGGCTATGCATGATCAGGTCCCCCTATCTTTTTTCTAACCTAAGAAACTATGTAAAAACGTAATTTTCTCTAGTTGCAGGGCTCAGCTACGTGGACATTATCATAGACAGTTGCCTATTTTGCATTTAGGTTAATTCTGCTCCTATAATAGTGTCATTAAATCAAACCACACTTTAGAAATATTTATAAAAGCAATTTAATTATTCATTACGCATCCGATTATAATTAAAGTTGTGTAATTATGTAATATTTTAATAATAATTGAGTTAGTTATGATTTAAAAAAATCTCTATTCAAAATTTAATCTTAAAGTTAACAATGTTGCCAGAACTAGATTTCAGTTTAGTGAGAGATTGCTTAAGGACCAAAAAACCTTTTGCGAAAAAAACCTGGTGAGCAGAGACAGCCTCAAATAGAATTAGTAGTAATAACGGATCGTAAAAAATAAATGAATGACATCTGTAAGAAATAAATGAATAAATTTAATTAAACGTTATATTACACGTGGTAGAGCCACGCCGCAGCTATATTAGTTGTATAGTTGTAGAGAACCGGAGACCCTTTTTACTGGAAAAGCGGCATTTCATCTTAGTCCTCACGGGTGACGTCTATGGGCCACAGCAACCACTTACCATCAGGTGGACTGTGTGCTCGTTCGTCACCCTCATCCTATTAAAAAAAAGCAATATCTGGCTTCGGAAGATTATGCAGCTATATTATGGTTGTAGCGTGAATGGGTTGGCTCGACCGGAGTAAGACCACGCTCTCATAGAATACCAGTGTAAAATAGCAGCTTAATGCTACTGTGTTTCGTAAGGTGAGTGTAGAGAACCTTGGTGACCCTTTATATTGGAAACGAGGTATTCCGTTTTAGACCTAAGGATTACGTAGTAACATTATGCAATCTGTGCTAAGGGGTGACAATGCATCTGCATTTTGATTTCTAATCGAGAATGGATGTAGACTTCTATGGGGCACAGTTTTCTCTTACCATCAGGTGGACTTTATGCTCGTTTGTCATGTTTATTCTATATAAAAAAGATTAATAAGTATTTAACATGCACTGAGTTTAATCGAGGGTGTTACCTTAATTGACACTTACCGTCAGGTCAACCTCATGCTCGTTTGTCAATCTTCTATAAAAAAGGCACCGATGATTTAATTCACAAACGTTTCTTCAATTACCGCGCTTAAAAGAATTAACAGTATTAGAATGATTAACTTAGCATGTGTCTTGCTAAACCCCACTACCACCTATTTGATGTGCGAGTGATTTTGTGGTGATAACGAGATTCTGATAGCTTGTGCAAATGTTTGCTTTGTTGGGTTTTCCGCCTGCGTTTAGACATTAATTGGGATATAGTTATATGTAAATATTAAGTACGCTCAACATATTAAATGCTGGAGTATGTGTGAACTATTAACTTCCGCCAAGCGAGCGCGTCGTATGGTTTATTGCGTTAGGTCAATTTACTATAGCGATAACGGTTATTATTCATGTTGTGTTTTTGCGTTACCATTCCTAGCTTCATATACTAGATATATTTAATATTTCTACGACATATACTTTATGTTTAATGCCATGTTGTGGCGTTGTAAAAATATCTACTACCCATTATCTTCCCGTGAGTGTCGTAGGAGCGACAGAGGGAAATTGAAACAGTTCATAGACAAATACATAATATGTATAAAAATTTCTAATATTTATACACATATTTATAATTTTACTGTACGTGTGTTTGTCACAGAGACGGCTGGACCGATTTTGAGGGTTCTTCAGGTGCGTGCTCTGAAAACTATGGAATGATTAAAAAACGTTACATTAATTTTAATACAGGACCAAAATCTCTTGTAATTTTAAAATTTACTTACCTTTTTTTTACTTTCACAGTGTAAGGGGCCTCCATTTAAATGCTGGAAGGATTGCTACTCGTAAATAAGACTTTTTTTGGCTTATCTCCTCAGTTCACTCACTGTTTCTTTTCTTTTTGTTGACGGTTAAATCAACTACGTTTTTTTTTTTAAAAAGGAACAATTACGCAAACTTCAATTATAACCAATATTTATTTTATTTTATAAAATTCGACAATATACTTCATGTTCTTAATTTTTCATGTATATGTATATAGTCCAGCAGCAGTTAGCTGAAATAATTGTAATTTTTTGACTGGGCACAACCTTAAAGAGCCAAGCATGCTATATGTGGCAACCCTAGTTCAGGACCTACTAAAGACTGGTATTTCCGTTATCCTTAGAACATCTTCTGCAGCTTAAAAATTAGTTTTATTAAAACCCAAGTTGTAAAGTTTAAGTAAAACCCAACAAGCCCCGTGGTGTAACATGGTAGAGCCACGCTGCAACTATATTATGGTTACAGAATATGTCGGCCGGGGAAGAACCGCGTTCTCACAGAACACCAACGTATTTATGCTATGTTTCATATGTTGAGTTTAGAGAACCGTAGACCCTTTTCACTGGTAACGGTAACGAGGCATTCCATCTTAGTCCTCAGTGGTATCTTAATCCAGCACGGAATTATGTGTCTGTAGACTACAGTATCTATTTGCACTCATCGTGTGGACTGTACCCGTTCGTTAGGCTTTATGAAAAGGAAACAGAAAAAAAAATGCAAACGGCTCCATGGCGCAGTGGTTTAGCAATAAGATAGGGCGGTAATAGCCGCGCGTTCAAATCCCGCCCGGAACAAGTATTTGTGTGGCATACAAATAATTGTTCCAGTAATGTTTGTCCTGGTGAAATGTATGTATA